CCCATATTAAAAATAAATATAAAATCTTGATTAGAATAATATAGTTATGCAATTTTCTTTTTCCTGAAGACTATATTTCATAGTATAGGCAGATATACGTTTGGGATGTTCTTGCTTTGATAGAGTTCACAGTGTAGATAGTGTCTATCTACACAATTAAGTAACTACCGTATAACCCCAAAGATGAATTGATGGTGCTTAGAGAAAAGGTCAACTCGGTCTTCCTGTAAGAATCAATGAACTCAAGAGTGGCCTTGACATTTGTGTGTTAATAAACATTCGCCAAGTGAATAAATTGGGGATGTTGATGATGATGGTTCTAGCCCGGGAAACAGACAGTGTAAAGTCATGGCAGTATGATATATTTCATAAAACTATAAGCTCACTATTAATAGAAAATAGAAAGTATGTTAGTGTGGACAATAAATGTGTACTGAAAAGTGGAGTGAACTATTAAGCAGAGGTCACTGAGATTTTTCTTTTTTCTTCTGAGTCAACCAAATTATTGAGACTAATAAATTTGTGAATTTTTTTTTAGTAATAAAGGTAATTGCTTTGTGTTCTGTGAGTAGATAAAGCTTACATAGGAATAAGTATTTAGTGGAAACAAGCTCTAGTAGACTCTAGACAGAGGTGCAGAATCTCAGCTCACATTAGAGGTGTGCAGTCAAATGCGGCCTTCAGCCTTCATGAGTCAGACAAGTAACAGGCAGTGGTTTACAGTAAGATACCAGGGAGTGTTAGGCATTTTGGCAAGTGAAAAAGTTCATACCCAACCTAAAGATGTTCAAACTTATTATTTTAAAAGCACTGACTCTGTTGGTCGAATAAAACTGGAATTCTTACTGAATTTATCTCCTCCATGGCAGTCCTTAAAGTGTCCAAGATTTAAATAAGAAGGTTTTGAGGTTTTTTACGTATAAATTTAATATTCACACACACACACACATATTTTGATTTACTATCCTCCTTTTTATATTATCAGATAATTACAATAGACTTTTTTTTTTTGAAGCAGGTAATTAAAATGCCTTTCAGCAATACTTTAAATTCTGGGACACAGTTTAAAAACATAAATGAAAACAAACGTTGGCTATTTAACTTATAAATGTGAAGTACTAATGAAGATTAAAAATGGCTAATGTGAGATTTGAACTAGAATATCCCTGGACAGAAGTGCCACATCTACTGTTGTTTTTTCATTAGTATGGCTTCTTATAAGACTGGGAACAAAACTGTCTTCTTCAGATGAGGGTTCCACCTGAAGCTGACACTTTATTCATATTTATAATGGTGTACATTTTCTTGTCTTTTGTTATGTCCCTTGGCTTTGGAGTGAAGGCAAATAGGTGGTCTTCAGAAGACTAAAAAATAATGAGAATGACTAATACGCAGACTTGGTTTGTGAATGAAAATTTGTGGACACAGGATTCATTTACTTTTGTACATTGAAATTACTAATACAAGAGTATAGTAAGTGAGAAAACCACAATAAATTGCATACTTGTGACACACACACACACACACACACACTAACAAAGATTTCCTCCAACTTTTCTACACCATTACCTTTTTTAGTAATTGGACAAAGGTTTCCTTAAAATGCAGCCTAAATTTATTGAGTTGCTGAGAACTGGTCACTCATCATTTGTATTTCACGTAGTAACATTGCAGTAGACGGTGATAAAGATGATATCAATTTTCAATTTCTGCTAAGATTTTTTCTTTTAGGACATGTCATCAAAAAGATGTTCACATTCATTTATGACATAAAATGAAATGTGACATAAAAAATATTGTAAGAAATAAATAATGCCATCTTAAAAAATCTTTGGGTTTCCAGATGGAGAAATTGTCAAAGTGTTAAGTTGAAATTGAGGCAAAAATCAAAATAAAACAAAACAGAATTGGGAATGCTGACTAATTCCTTCTTCCCTAGATAGATATTAAGGAGTATGAAGCCAAAAAAGAATTTCGATGTTCTTTAAAGAAACTGGGCCAAAATTTGATGAGAAAGTATAAAACTACAGCAATGCTTGGCAATGAGCATTGCATTATGTTTTTGGTAAAAACAGTGAAATAACAATTTTATTTTACTTATAAAAGACAACATAAAATACACACAACATAATTTTTTCTTTTAATATTCCAAAAGGAAATGTTGAAATATTGTAGTCACCAAGCTAGTTTATTGATTCAAATGACTGAAATAGGAAGACAAAAAATAGGAAGACATACCCAGAAGAAAAAACAAAATAAAACAAAACATTCGTATTCTATCATGTATATAATTAGGTGCTGGCAGACCTCATGACTTAAGCATGCATAGCTTAAAATCAAATCTAGGGGAAACTATCTTTTATGAGCTCATTTTGAATGAATAGCCTACAGATTGGATGTGAGCCATAGAAAAGCTGCAAAGTTTTGTCAGTTCAGATGGCATAGCTTAAAATCAAATCTAGGGGAAACTATCTTTTATGAGCTCATTTTGAATGAATAGCTTACAGATTGGATGTGAGCCATAGAAAAGCTGCAAAGTTTTGTCAGTTCAGATGAGGTTATCTCATTTACTCTTCTACTAGCTAGGTAAGGAATAAAATTGGGACCTTTGTTAAATTTATACGTAACAATGAGTCATAGATTTGTATTTGTTGGAGAATATCGTGCTTTCTTTCTTAAAATTGTTTTTTATTTTTAATTGAAAAGTAATAATTGTGTATACTTATGGGGTACAATGTGATGTTTTGATATATGTTTATATTGGGGAGAAGGATGGGTGGGCAAAGGGGAGATGTTGTGCTGTCCTTTATTTCCAATTAGGATGCTATAGATTCTTAATTAAACTTAAAAAATAGAGGAGATGTCATTTATGTAAATTCTTAAAGTCCTACAAAACTATATACATACGTATCTCTTTTTTGTGGGTACAGCCACATGTTGAAAAACCCTGCATAGGAAAGAAATACAACAACTACAGGACAGTGATTATCTCTGGTAAAGAAGGAAAAACCAATGATGTCATAGGACTTCAACTGTAGCTTTAACATTTTATTTCTTAAACAATGTAAGTAACAACAACAAAAGACCTGAAACAAATATGACACAATTTTAACAGACATTAATTCTGTTAAAATTCTGGGCACCTAAGTGTTCATTTTACTATATTCAATATTTTTCATATTTTTCAAATATTTCACAATTAAGCCCCTCCTCCTCTCTCCCAAATACTTTGAACACATATATTGCACTATTTACCAGAATATATGGCAAGCAAGACCCTGCAAATTATCTTTCTACTATCCTCAACACTGATTAAGTTTTCTAAATGATTGCTCTCAGTTTTGGCCTCACATTTCTTGAATATGGAAAACAACAACTACAACAAAAAGCTCTGCAACAGGTGATGATCAAGGAAGGATCAAAACTGTATATTAGCTGGATCATGTACAATAAGATCATCAATTTAGAAAAGAAGTAAGCATTTTAAAACTTATAAAACTCATAAGGATGATACTTACCATTTTGTTTTTCTACAAAAAAAAAATAGGATGTAAATTTAATGTAGCTGACTTAGATCCACTACGTAAGCGAGTGGTAGCCAACATAACATCTATAGAACCATTATTTATTTATTCATAGAGTGTTAGAAATCATTTGGCGCAGGCATTTTAAACTGAGAATTGTGGATATGTTAAATAGAACGTGGGGAAGTTTTAAAGTAGCACTTGCTTCTTCCGATATTTTATCCATAAATTGTTTCAGATACATTTCTCTGTGGAGAGGATACAGAGCTTTTACTAAGTTAAGACATAGACACATCCCTGTAGCTTGGAATGAGAACACTGAGGTGGGCAGGTGAATGACTTGGCTCTGGATTTATAACTGGCACACAGCTGTTGCAAGGCTTTAGCTTTCTTATTCAGTAATTTTTCCACTAAAAACACACAGAAGATCAGAGCAGGTGCAGAAGCTGTTTAACGGATTTGTGAGAATTATGTTGCTGACAACTGCAAAAAAATATCTTTTTCCTTGACTTTCTCATCCATTTTATTATAAGTTTAATGGGACTTGGAGTTGGTGGAAAACTGTAGGTATTTTGATTATGGAGAGACTAGCTGCTTCCTGACTCTTGGTGATACAATGTCTATGTCAAAAGGACATTCACGATTTGAACACCATTCACAATTTGAGCACCAGTGGAAATTTTGAGGGCCCAGTGATGTCTATAAAGTATTTACAAGTATTTTTTAGGGTAGGCTATAAATAAGGACAAATTAAAACAGTGAGGAAACCCTGGAATGTAGTCTCAGTGTGTTGTACATGCATATTTTGCAGTTCTAGTAGCCCTAATTTCACACAGTAGCCAACTGTCTAATAAATTAATGAATAAAATATCAATGTACTAGTGGGTCAATGCTCTACCAATTCACTAATATATCTGCTCCATTGTATGATGTGAATGCATGATGGGCCTACCTACCACGTTGCATTTTAAGGATATTTAAGAATAATACCAAGCCTTTCAGTAACTTGTATTTTAGAATATTTAGTGCCCTGTGAATACTTATGACATACTAATTTTAAAAACATAATTTAAAAAAATAGATAATGGTTAATATTCATGAGGCAATATATTTGATGAATCTTTCTTTGTACAGCAAAACTAGTATTCTGCTTTTTTCCCCTTTTAGGGACAAGTAAAACTATTAGAATTACTAACACAATATCGGTAATATAAAAATAAGTATTCACCATGAATTGTAATGTTTTCTTAGGCAATCCCTACTCCCATTCGATAATTCTTTACCTTTTGTGTGTCATTTTTATTAACAGATGAAGAGTATGTCTACATGCACATTAGAAAAAAATATTGTTGACACTTAAATTAGTTTTATATTTCTAATTAAAACTCCCTTCCAAACATATCATGCATAATAAGGTTACATAATAAATCTGATTTACAGAAGATTTTGTGAAAAGGTTTTGCTATCTTTTTGCAGATAGAAGCCAAGATTAAGATGAAATATGTAAGAAGCCACTGGATAATTTTCTTAAAGGCAGTTCTGGAAAGAAGCATGGAGAATAAACCTTCTTGGTCAGGTGAAGGTCAAGGAGAAATCAGGATCAAGGAAAGGGTCTGTTATTCTAGGAAGAACAGATATGTAGTGCCTGAGCCTGAAGGTAAGTCTATAAGTCAACTTTCAGAACAGGCAGATAGCTAGAACCACATCCAGATCAGTTACTAAACGTAGTGTCTACCTTCCTCATTATGTGCAGCAGCTGAATGACAGAGGTCCACTGGATGGAAATCCTGGAAAGCAGGTTTTCTTCTGGGAGGGTTACAGCAGCAGGTATTAGGTAAAACTAACAGAGGTGAATTTTCAGATGCAAAAATTTCTGTATCTGTATGGACACTAGAGTATGAGGTATGAGACATCAGTAGCAGGAGAATAGGTAGGTAAGAAGTTCCTTTGATCATGAATCTCAGAGGTCTTGGAGGTCAACTAGACCAACTCTCTCACTTTCCAGATGAGGGAACTGAGGCCTGTTGAGGCTTTAATCACAAAACAAAATGCTTGAGTCTCCTGGAATTAGATCTTGGATCTCCTAACTTCCAGTATGATGTTCTTTCAACATCATCATTTCCTTAGGCCTGAGAGACTGACTCATCATGAAGTCACTGAACTGCTTGACCAGGGCTTTGTGTATCCTCTCGGATTCAAGAATTGGGAATAGGCTTCATCGAGTTGGATCACAGACCCCTCCTGTGCAGGTCCTGAGCCAGGTAGTTGAAAGAAGATTCTGGCATCTGATAACAGGATAGACATGCTTTATTCCAGACATGAACTCCCCTGCTGGTGGTTCAGAAACACTGCCTTTTTTACTGAAAGTACACAATAATGGCAACGAGCCAAGGTGTACATGGGCGTGCATGCGCAGTTACATCACTCTTATACAACTTGTTTACAACAGATGTGCTGAATCATACCCAGCTGGATAGGAGGCAAGAGGGCCTGTCTAAACTAACTCCATTTTCCTCAAAGGCCTAAAGTTAATGACTGGGGTTAAACTACTGCAGCTTTTAAAGTAAAAGGAGTGCAAGGGTTTAACTACTTTATTACTTTGACACTCCTCCCCTTGAGAGGTGGTGTCTGTGTTCCCTTCCTTTGAACATGGGCAGGTCGACTTAATGACTATAGCGAAGTATTGCTATGTGACTTCCCAGGCTGGGTCATAGAAGACACTACAGCTTCTATGTGGTTGTCTTGGGACACTCACTTTTTGAATCCAGCTACCATGCCATGAGAAAGGCCGTGTGCCACTGGAGGGGCTCATGGGGAGAGGAGCTGAGGCCCCTAGCTAGGGTCTCTGACTGACTCCCAGCTGACAATCTGAACCTGTCTTCGTCATGAGTAAACCATCTTGAAAGTGGACACTGTAGTCCTCATTTAGTTTCCAACAGCTGATGCCTCATGGAGCAGTAGTTACTTGTCCCTCCCCAGACTGCAGATCCATAAGCAAAATAAATGACTATTATTTTAAGTCACTGAGTTTTGGGGGTGTGTTGTCATGTTGTATGTAGTGTGCTTGCTTACTTGAGGGGTGGTTATCAGTGAAACCATATATTCAAGAGAGATTAAAAAACTGTTCAGCCTACATGTTTCATTGTTTTCTTTATTTTCTTATCAAAACTTAATATTGGACTTGTGAGTAACAAGTCTATCGAAATAGTTTAACAAGACATTCATATTTGCTGATTTGTGCTCTCTGGCAGCATAATAGTCTTACTACTTTTTTGTTTTATCCTGAAGTCAAACTGTCCTGGGTTCAAGTCTTAGATCTGCCATTTATAGTGGGAACTTGCACAAGGTATGAAACATTTCTCTGCTTCAATTCTTGTCCTCTGAAATAGAGCCAATAACTCCTTACAGGGTTTCTTTGTTTTGTTTTGTTTGTTTTGTTGATTTCCTGAGGTGGTTGTACAGGATTAAGCACTCAGCTTTTATTTTTTATTATTTATTTATTTATTTTTGGTGGCTGGCCGGTATGGAGCACTCAGCTTTTAGAGTCTGACTTGGATTTGAATTCAGGCATTGACATTTATTTATTGTGTGGCCTTAAGCAAATCATTCAACCTCCCTAAGGAGGAATTTCTGTACTTATAAAATGGGAACTCTATGAGTACCTACTACAGCATTATATTTTTGTAAGGATGAAAAAAATAACACATGTAATTTGCTTATTACATTATGGTACATAGTAAACACCCAATACATGTTAGTTATTACTTATTATTATTATTTGAATTAAATCAGATGATCCTTCAAAGCATACAGTGATTTTCTATTCTGGTACATAGTAATACTCACTAAAGAGTAGTGCCCTTCTCCCAGTCCCTTCTCATGACCACATTATATGATCCACTATAATAAATTTATATCAGCTAAAACTTTATCCAAGCATGGAAAAATTGCTTTGACAGTGAGAAGATAGATTCATATTCTAATGACTTTGATAAATGAATAGACATTTTAAAATTGCATGTTCAAATGGGAAATCATCAATTCTTTCTGAATGAAGGTGAAGAGCTAGCAGTCAGAGTGGGTAAGGAAGCTACATATCAGTCAAGTATGTAGTACTGTTTGTAAAAGTGCCAGCACATGAAAATGTTTAAAATTAGTGTATCAAACAACTACTACTACTGCTACTATTACTATTACTTGCTAATCATATTTTATACTAGTTACCATTTTAAGCTCATTTTTTTTTTTTTTTTTTTTTTTGTCTTTTTTCGTGTCCGGCAACGGATTGCAACCCTCAGTGTCGTGCCCGTACTGGACCGGGACCAGCAACGGGATCACGACCCTCAGTGTCGCACCCGCACCTCGCTCAGCCAGTGAGCGGGAACCGGTCTGTATGTGGGATCTGAACCCTCGGCGGGAGCACCGCCGCGCTCCCAAGTGGCGCACTGTAGCAGTGCGCCACTGGGCCGGCCCCATTTTAAGCTCATTTTAAGAAAATTTATCAACTTAATCTTCAAGACAATCTAATGTTGGAGAAGTTAACTTTGCATTATAGTTGTCTCTGGTTAACCACAACTTAGGGTGAAGGAGCCTCACTCCCTAGAGATGGATACTGAAATTCTGGAGAGGATTTACACAAGTGCAGTGAAAGTGGTTGAAGGATTTGAAAATAAAACACTTGAGAGGCAGTTTAGAAAACTGCAATTTAGCTTAAAGAAGAGAGAAACGAGAAATGTCATAAGAATTGCCCTTTAGTGTATGGGGGTAAGCAATTTTGTGAAGGAGATAAGCAGTTTTCATCCAGGTTGCCTAAGAACAAGAGCAAAGAAAATGAGCTCAAGTTTTAGCATGAATGGCATAAGTTAGACACAAGAAAGATTTTTCTGTCAGTGAGAATTATTTTCTACCAAGTGGAGTTAATGAAAGACGTGGCTGAATTTCTTTCTCTTTACTTTTTTTTTTTTTTAGTATAGGTTTATTTTTCATTTTTTCTTTTTTTGAATGGCTTTAAATGGTTTTATGGAGGAATAAAGAACCTCTCAGTTTCTTTTCATCTTTCTGAATCTATGACACTAATCACTGCATTTAAAAAAGTTATAAATTATGCATCTCCACTTCTAATTTTTATTTTACTTAGTCTATGATTGTTCATTAGTCCAGCTTTTTTTTTTTTTTTTTCATGTACTATGTATCAGATATCCTTTTTTGTCTTTCTACCTTTTGGTCATTCCATTTATTCTCAAGCTGACATATATCCCAAATATCTCCATGTCTCCATTGACACGTACCTTAAAAACCACTTTTAAAAAGTGATGAAATTTCAATGGGTGTTGGTAAACTTAGTCCACATTTATTTTTATAATTTTTTACTGTTTTTATTATCACTTTTACCATTACATTTCTTATACTTGTATGATTCTTTATAATTTACAAAATACTTAGATGCATTTTTGGTAGATTGTGATAATCATGGTCTCTGAAAAATCACACTTATCTATCTACATCATTGTATAATCTCCTCCCACAATGACTCTATGCTTAGCCATGTGACCTACTTTGGCCAATTGGATATTAGTAAGTGTGATGCAAGCAGAGGTTTGATAGATGCTTACACATTGTGGCTTGCCTATTTGGTAAAACCATGTGGACAAGAACAGAAGTGCCCAGAAAAATAGCCCCAGGTAGTCACCAGACATGTGAGTGAGACCAACGTGGACTTCCAAGCCCAGTAGACCCTCCTCATGAGTGACCACAGGGGAGAACAGCAGAAGATCCCCTCAGCTAAACACAGTCCAAATTACAGAATTTTGAGCTAACATATGGTTTTTATTCAGACCCCTACATTTTAAAGATAGTTTGTTATGCAGCAATAGGTAACCAATACACATATTGCCATTTGATCCCCATATCAACCCTGTGAAGCACTCAGGTAAGATATTGTCTCAGTTTTACATATGAGAAATCTATGACTGAATTTCAGGTTTGTTCTTATGTTTTTTCTACAGCAATACTTTATTAATCCCTTCAGCAGGTTTAGAAGTAAAACAAAGTGTAATGATTGTGTTATAACAAGTTTCTTCAGAGATTAAAAAAATTCTAAGAAAAATTTGAACTGTATTTCCAAAATCAAATATTATTTTATACTTAAAATAAGACCTTTAGCATATTTTTGCTAAAACATCTCCTGGGTGCTGGAGAAGAGTTATCCAAAAATGTATTTAGAGAGAGAAAACCTAAATGAGAGTAATATTTATGGATATGGAATAGCAGTTAGACTTGAACTAAATTCACACAAAAATTCTTGTTTACATATAAAAATTCACCCTCAAATGTGATCTCCTTTTTAAAGAAAATTTTGCATTCTTCCTCCTGGTTGCTAAATTGTATTTCACTTGCTGCTGTTTTTGAAGCAGAGCATTGCTCACAGATTTATCGGCTTATCTCTAACCACAATTCACAGCTTCTGTTCAAGAAGAGCTAAAATTTTGGTTCATGTTTTATTCTTTTTCATTTATTTTTCAAGGCATGGCCTTATTATAATGTCTGGGCTAACCTGGATGCTTGAAGTGACTGCAGCAGAATGCACATTCTGTGCAACAGAATGAAGTGAAGTGAGTTGATTATTTTAACTCTAAACAAAGCAGAGGTAATCAAGCT